CTGTCCTAGATTCCCTGCGTTTCCAATTCCCATCTGTACCGCTGTGCATCATCTGGTCTAACCAGGTCTGCAAGGCAAAATTGGGGTCCTGATAGTTGTGGGGGGAAACGTTCTTAAATTGTGGGGATGATTGCACAACTGTCCTTACTAAGGCTGAGCGACTCGATTGTATGACACGTGAAGTGTATGCCGATAAATTGTCTTTTAAAGAAGAAGAATGCTCTTAGGAAGAAGATGCTGAGAGCTCATCTCAAGCACTCTGGACATACTATGAGGAAGGCCCAGTCTCTGGAGAAGGGCCAGGCTTGCAGCGGGTCAGGGAAAATGGGAAGACCTTCAATGAGATGGACGGACACAGCGGCTGCAGTTGTGGCTCAAACTTCGCAGCAACCACAGTGTTTTGTTCTGGTGTGCATGGATTGTGTGAGTCAGAAGTGACTCACTGGTACCTAACAATAATCATGGTCTTTCTCCCACAGAGCTGGAGCTGCCCAGTGAGTTTGAACTACCAACCTTCCTGTGCTGCCACGAGGACTGTTTCCCAGTACTTGCCACATCATGGATAAATCCCCATAAACATGATTCTGGATGAGAGAAGCCCAAAGCAAAAGATCCCATGTCGCATGATTCCATCTATATGAAATGACCAGAAAAGGCATTTTTTAAGTGGATCAGTCATGGTCTGGGGCTGACGTTGGGAATGTGGACTGACGGCAAGTGGGCAGGAGGGAATTGTTCAGGCTGGAGGAAATATTTTTAAAATGAGTTGTAATGATGGCTGCACAACCCTATAGTGCACAAAACAACTCACAACCCAAACTCAACTGCCATTGAGTCGATGCTGACTCATAGCGGCCCCCCTCCCCCCTGCCTGTGGGTTTCCTAGACTGTAACTGTTCATGTTAACAGTCTTTCTCCCTGCGGAGCTGCTGGTGTTTGGAACTGCCAACCACGTGTATGGCGGCCCAAAGCATAACCACAACTCACCAGGGCTAGAATTGCTTAAAAATGGAATCGCTTGAAGGGACGCTGGAAACGTGTTAGGATACTTGTTCCACAGAGGAATGAGACCCTGAGGACTTAGTGAACCTCCATTTTCAGGACAAAATGGGGGTGGCGATCGAGGTAGGTAGTTTGTTGTGCCAACCTGGCCGATAAACACATGTGGGATTAATTGAAGGGCACAGAGATAAATGGCTCGGTGAGCCTCACCTTTCTTGTCTCTTGCTCTTTGATCATCGGACCAGTGTGTGGCTGCCTTGCTTGTTCT